GTTAATGTTGGACTTGTGGGCTTGGGCAGCACTGGGTTGAGATATTTTCTTGATGCGCACTTAACCTTTACATAAAACTCTCTCTTATACATGAGTTTCAGTGGATTTTTTTCTCTAAAGTGCCCAGACTAGCACACTACCCCACCAAATTCCTATCAACAACCCTTCCCAGTTAACTTTAGGTGTAACCCTAGGTCTATAGTACCAAGTCTTTATCAACCACCACCTCCAAATCTTTACTTAGGACCAGAGAAGCTTAGACCTGGAAGAAGCCTCGGACACTACCCAATCTAACCTTCTTACTTCAGAGGCAAGCAAACAACAAACTTGTCCAGGGTCACACAACAAATTAACACCAGATTTTATAAACCAGAGTTTATAAACAAGTATCTTTGTTCCTGTTCTAGAGCTGCTTTTACTGCCTGGCATCAAGCTGGTAGAAGTAGGCATACTAAGCCACCAGGGAAAAGGCTCAGGAGTGTTTATCACATTCTAGAGCTGGGCATATGCCATGTTGTCCTGAGCACAAAGCCTTGTGGGGGACAAGGTAATGGCTGGAAGGCTGGGATGGGTTTGAGGGGCTCACTTCCTCTTCTCGGAGCTTCTGCTTCCTCTTCTCTTCCACAGCAGCTCTCTTCTGGTCCTCTCTTAAGCGCTGCTCCTCCAGTTTTCGCCAACGCTCCTCAATTTGCTTTTCATACTGGAGCTTGGCTCTTTTCTGTTTCTCCAGGATCTGCTGCTCTCGGGCAGCTGGGAAAAGCAAATCAAAACATAAGTGTCACAAGCAGAGCACTCCACACTCTTTGGATTACAACCTAAACTGTAGATATGCCGGGGGCTTAAGTGGAGAGGAAATGTTTTGAGAATGATGAGGGCAATGAATGTACAAATGTGCTTTACACAATTGATGTATGCATGATTGTGGTAAGAGTTGTATGAGCCCCTAATAAAATGATTTTTTAAAAAAGATAATCACTACCAACAAGTCGATACTGACTCCTAGCAATCCCATAGGACAGGGTAGAACTGCCCCTGTGAGTTTCCAAGACTATAATTGTTTACAGGTCTAGAAAGCCCCATCTTTCCCCCAAGGAGCAGCTGGTGGTTTCAAACTGCAGACGTGGATTGAAGCCCAATGTGTAACCACTGCACCACCAGAGCTCCAGAAAACATAAGATGAAGACCAAAATAGAGCCTTGTGGGAGTCTAGGAAGCAATGATAAAGAGGAAGGGCTTTGGAAAACAGGTATGCTGACTGTCTGTGGGTGACCCTGGAAACATTAATTATGTCATCTCTGTGCCTCACTTTCCTCCTCTCAAAGGAAAGACAGTAGTGCTGTGGTAGATATATAATCGTTTGTCAATTTGAGGATTAAGAGTGTAAGGGTGGAGTCTAGTTTGTCAATCAGATCATAGCCAATGAGGCCTCTGTGTGGGCATGACCTTCTCCTGAGAATTCTGGGAAAGCTGGTACTTCCTCCTCGGATGTGGGAGACTCTCTGCTCACATCCTGGGAGACATAGCAGCTGAAGACACATGGACCCACCCTGATGCAAAGACACCTGTCAGCGCAGAGATGTTTCCAATGACACTGGATCCAAAGACTTTCTACCCACTGGCCTGTGATCTACATTTGGTGTCATTGCATGTGTTTGGTGAGTCTGAAGAGGACTTTATAGATTGGTATTGGACACATGGGCTAATATAGGACTTAAGGACTTGATCTGGACTGGGCTGGGATGTTTTCTCAATGTTCAATTGCTCTTGTATATAAATTTCTTTCTTATACACATATGTGTGTCCACGGATTTGTTTCTGTAGTCTACCCAGACTAACACAAGTGCTTACTGGTATTTATTTTGACCATCCCAGTTCCTCCGGATATAACTGTGACTCCTTTCAGTCCCAAGAGTGTCAGAGTAGAACTGTGCTCCAGAAAACTTTCAGTGACTCTAATTTTTCACAAGTTGATGTCCAGGTCTTTTTTCTGGGTAGAATGAAACTCCTCACCTTTCAGTTAGCAGCAAATACCTTAACTGTTTACTCCCACCCAAAATAAAACAAGACAAAAACCCCCAAACCAAACTCACTGCCATCAAGTCAGTTCTGAACTGCCACCATACGGTTCCCAGTGCTGTAATATTTGTGGGAGCAGACTGCCACTTCCTTCTCCCATGGAGCACCTGCTGGTTTTGCACCGCCGACCTCTGGTTGGCAGCAGAGCACTTAATCATTGTGCCACCAGAGTTCATTATTTTTATTTTATGCATCAGCGAAAGTTACAAATACGAGTCTTTCTTCTAGAGATCTAGCTGCTTACCATTTACCAGTATGCCACTGATCAGCAGCCATATTAGAGCTTGAATTTTCTCCTCTGGTCAATAGGGCGTCACTGAAAGAATTGAAGCAAGGGGTAAAGCTACTGCTACTATGAACTGAAACAGCCTTTCTGAAAAATAATTTGGAAATGTGAGAGGGTGCCTCAAAAATTGAACTGAAGATAATGGAATTTTACCATGAGCTTTTTGAAGTCCTATTGTCTGGTGGCATAGTGGTTACATGTTCAGCTACTAATCTCAAGGTGAGCAGTTCAAAACCAGGCTTTCTCCTCTTGAAAAGTATTACAGTTTGTATCTATTCTGTCCTATAGGGTGGCTATGAGTTGGAATCGATTTAATGGCACTGAGTTTGGGTTTTTTTGTTTTTTAAGTTTTGTCTATCAAAAGCCCTAAAAATGTTCATACTAACATTTCCATTTTAGAAGTTTGTCTTAAGAAAAATTATGTAGGGGGAGGGAAATGGCTGTTTGTGTGTGTAATAGATGAGCAAAAAAAGGGAGAGGAACCAAGGGTTCTCATCCACTGAGAGGGCACAGAGCACATACAAAGAACTCAAGATAGAGCTGTAAGAAACGTTTGAAGCTTAAAAGGTTACCAGAGGAATTTGAAAATGCCTTATTTCATCTCATTTGTCTCAATTCAATAGGGAAAACAACTGTGTACCTCAGAACAATTTGTGGAAAACACAATGGACTTAACTTGCCTACCTAGGAGATGTACGGAGGCCTTTCTTAACAGGGGCTCTCCATACTAACACAGAAAATAACGTATGTGTCCTTTCCTAAGTTCTCCTCAGGGCAGCCCGTTTAGACACCCTGGAAAGGACTTGAGTGAGGGCACTGGGGAATTTCTAGGTGGAAGGCAGGGACTATTTCTATTTGTCCCCCATCCCGGAGCTTAGAGCATGTCAATTCTTCAGGTTTATTTTGTGATCATCCCAGTTCTCTTCCTAAGCGTTCACAATTTAGTTCCTGCCTGAGGATCTGTAGACAAGACACCAAAATATCTCCACTCCCTTAGACCCAAACATCCCAAATACTCAACTTACCAAGACATTTCTCTCTTTCTTCTCGTCTTTCTTTGGCTAGTCTTTGTCTCTCATCAGATTTTAAAAATCCTTCCATGCCTGCAAGAGAGAAAACACAATGCAACAGTGCTTCAGAGAGAAGCCATCTCTGACCACACCCTTCCCATATCTGCTGAATGCCACTGTTTCTGACATATATGTCATCCATCACCACCATTGCATCCACAGGAAGCCTTATTCATCATTCTCTACCAACACAGCCAAGTCCCAAGAGTTGAGTGGTGGGCAGCCATGGCTTCAACACTCACCCACCAGACCAGGGGTCCTCAAACTTTTTAAACAGGGGTCCCTCAGACCCGTTGGAGGGCCGGACTATAGTTTAAAAAAAAAAAAACTATGAACAAATTCCTATGCACACTCACATATCTTATTTTGAAGTAAAAAACAAACGGGGCAAAAACACCCGGCGGGCTGGATAAATGGCCTCGGTGGGCCGCATGTGGCGCAGGCCGTAGTTTGAGGACCCCTGCACCAGACTGTGCTGCAGTAGCCACAGTGTCAGTCAGAGAATATCAAGTTCTTTGCCTAATCCTCTGGCCCCAAGCCAGACCCTGAAGAGTTCCAAAAGTACAGAGGAAATTGCCAGTGTACACAGAAGTCGACCTGGCCTCCCTGTCACCAGCTTCCTTTCTTGAAATAGAACCAGTTACAGGAAGGAGAAGGTACAAAAGTGGACAAGAGATCATTACATGGATACTGACCATTTTAATTTTTAAAAGCAGCCAACTTCTGAGTGGAACCTCAAAGAGTGCAATCAATGTCACTAAATTGTACATGTAGAAACTGTTGAATTTGTGTATGTTTTGCTATGTACAACCTCAAAAATAACAACAAAATGATTAAAATTTAGGGGAGAAATTAACTAAGGGGGGAAAGATTAAATGATCTTCATTGTTATTTTAAGATTAGAACCAATTTACTGTACTACCTTAAAATTCATGAGTATTAACTACGTGATGTTTAACAACTTTCGAGAGAAACTGGTTTTCGTGCTTTCCCTTGGTCAGGTGGCACTCACATCATTGTGTGTCCTGCTGTCATAGCAAACCAATCCCTTTCCTGGTAGGACTTAAGGCTTGAGAACACAGCTGGGAGGACATGACTAGTGCTGAACTGCAGTGGTTCTCCATAGGTGTTTGGTGCTACAGCCTAGGTTAGACAATAATGGATATTAAAAGCTCAAGAGAAACAGTGGAAAAGCAAGTAATAGTGGAAAAGAGTTATCTTCCAAGTTTTAAATACAACTCTCAATCGTATGATGCTACCAACAATAGTCTCAAGAACTGAAAAGCCCAACTCATTCACTCATCACTGAATTGTAGCCCTCCACAAATTGATCTCAAAATTATCTCCCCAGTTTGACTTTAGCATTGCCCCCTTTTCTCTCATGATCATTCCAGTTTATCTCTACCACTTTTCCTGAAATTCCTTCTTCTACCCATTTAACCTGTGAGTAAACTTCCTGCCTTCAAGATCCTAGGATCTCCAACGCTGTGATGCTCTACACTCCGCAGCTCTTCATAAAGCTCATATACACTGATTTTATTCAGCTTTACCTAGAGTGATCCAACTGGAGAGTGTCACTTAGTGGTCTGATTCACCTCTGGACCTTGCCCAGTTGTGTCTATTACCCCTAACACAGTGGTCCTGAAGCACACAAAATCTCAAAAGGAGACCTGGGGCTAGTTGAAGGGGAGAAACAAGAGAAATACTTTTTCTCTAAGCCAGTGGTTCTCAACCTTCCTAATGCTTTGACTCTTTAATACAGTTCCTCATGTTGTGGTGACCTCCAAGCATAAAAGTGCTTTCATTGCTACTTCATAACTGTAATTTTGCCACTGTTATGAATCATCATGTAAATATTTAATATGCAAGAATATATTTTCATTGTTACAAATTGAACATGATTAAACATAATTAAAGCATAGTGATTAATCACAAAACAATATGTAATTATATATTGTGAAATATTTATGTGTTTTCCGATGGTCTTAGGCGACCCCTGTGATAGGGTCGTTCAGCCCCCAAAGGGGTCACAACCCATAGGTTGAGAACCGCTGCTCTAAACACTTTTAGGTTCTACTCTCCACACCAATATTTTGATAATAAAATTGAGTTCTGTGTGAAAAGTTGCAAAGGAAAGCCTCCAAATAACAATGCAGTACCAACACCATCTTGTTGGCCAAGCAGGACCAGAGCCAAGCTTTGTCTTGTCCACACCACCCACTACTGGTTAATAGGTCTGCTGCCTAAGCTCTACTGTGAGAATAGCTCAAATTATCTTTAAACAGAGGAAAGAAAGAAAAGAAGGTCATTTACATGTTAAACTAGGCTTTGCATAGAAAAGGCTTTTTATTTAGCGTACATGCATGTCTTGCCGCTGCCCCCTTGTGGAAAAAGGTAAGAGCCACACCTTCAGCTGGTCTTTCCTGAAATTTTTATCATCATGATCATAGTCCACCATCAAAAGCAAAACAAAACAATAAGTATCCAAACCCACTGCCACTGAGTTAATGTCAACACATAGCAACCATTTAAGACAGAGTAGAACTGCCCCATAGGGTTTCCAAGACCGTAGTCTTCACAGAAATCAGGAAAAATATGTCAGAGTTGTATCTTTCCACTATACTTATTCAAACGATATCCAGAGAAAATAACCCAATAAGCTGGAATAAAGAGAGATGTCATTTCTTGATATCAGAAATTGAGGAGGACTCATTAACAACCTGTGTTATACAGATAATACAATCTTGCTTGCTTAAAGTAAAGAGAATTTAAAGCAATTACTAATGAAGATCAAAGACTATAGTCTTCAATAAAGATTACATATAAACATAAAACAAAAATCTTCACACTTAACCAATAAGCAAAATCATGGTGAACAGGTAAGCATTTGAAGTTATCAAGGATTTCATTTTACTGAGATCAACAATAAATATCCACAGAAGCAACCCTCAAGAAATCAAATGACATACTGCACTAGGAAATGAACTACAAAAGACTTCTTTAAAACAGTGTTAAAAAGTTACTTTAAAAACTAAGGTGCACCTGGTTCAAGTCATGGTATTTTCATTCGCAGAAAAGGAACCAGGAATGAAGAACTCATGAAATGTGGAATCCCTCCCCTTCCCTAGGAAGCCCTCCCTGATTCCTTCAGAGGAAAGCAGCCACTTGCCCCTCTCTGATCTCTGTCACAGGAAATCATGCACACCTCCTGGGAAACTATTAACACAGGGTACCTAAACACTGGTTTCAATGCAAATCTCTCCAGCGCTCCTTGTTTTCCACCTTGGCTACACAATGGAATAAGCTGGAGGGTCTGATAAAAATATGCCCCTGCTTGTGTTCCTCTCCCATACTGACTTAGCTGGTGTAGGAGTGGCCTGGGCATGGGTGTTTTAGAAAATCCCATGTGACTGGATTTGTAAAAGGAATGACAATTGCCCTACAAAAATGTTTCTTTCACTACAGGAAAGCAGCCACCTAAAAGGATAGTGAAAACAGGTAACTGGGACTCACTTTCGGACTCAGTGACCCTGGGATGGGTCAGAGACTGCGACTGTCTAATAAGCTCTGAGAGGCAGTTGCTGGCCAGGGTCCATTCTTGGGGAAACTGCCTGAGACTAGGTTGCCTTGCCAGGACAAAGGCCTCCCTGTGGCTGTTCTTCAAATCTCAAGAATCTAGCACGGGATGGGGATGCAGAATACATGAAAAAGCATACATATTACAGTGTACCCCCTCCCCTCATGTCCTAGTGCCCCCACTATCTCACTGTACCACTGAGCCTGTCCATTTGAGCCTTCCCCTCTAAGGCAGTGGTTCTCAACCTTCCTCATGCCGCAACCCTTTAATACAGTTCCTCATGTTGTGGTGACCCCCCCAACCATAAAATTATTTTCGTTGCTACTTCATCACTGTCATTTTGCTACTGTTATG